CTGCCGCCGGGGGTCGCGGAAGCCCGCGCCCCCGTCCGGGACCCCCCGAGGCCAGCCCCAGGCCCGGGGTCCCGGGGTCGCTGAGAGAAGGGGCGCCACCACTGCATCTCGGCGGCGCCACGCCGGGGCCGGATGTGGGCAGGGACTGCTTTCAGAGGAGGGTCCCCACCTCTCACAGCCTCCGGCGACGGCGGGACCAGCCCGGCCGCCGCGATCGCCGCGTCGCCCGGTTTGCCAGCGCCGGGCGCCGGTCTCCCTCCTCCCCCGCGCCCCTCCAGCTAGGGCGGTGACGGTCCGAGCGCCACATCTCACTGAAGCTTGGACTGCCACCTCCGGGTCCACCTCCCCTGCTGTTTTCCAGACTAGGTGGCTCAGACCCTGGCAATCCCTCAGGGCTTTATTTTGGCCGTGAACGTTAACAGAATGAAAGCAAAAACTCCACCGCTCAGCCACACCTTCCCTTCTCTTCTTGAGTAACTCCCGGGTAGCCTCAGTAAGTTCGGATAGTAAGGTGGGTTCTCGCGAGATTTCGCGCGCTGGCAGCGGAGGCGGGGTAGTGGGAAGGTTGGGTGTCGGTCACGCGACCCGGTGCTGGCTGACGTCACTCGCGTCACATGAACGCGTCTAGCCTGTTTCGCTTTGCAAAGAGAAATAGGAAAAGAAGAGCCCGTGCGTGCTCTGCTGCCTGCACGAAGATCCGGCCAGATAGTGGCAATTGAGTGAACTCCTCAGTGACTATCTGAAAACCCGCTTCACAGTTCACGAGCGTTTCTGCTATTGTTTTTGGTAAACGGGGAGAGTACGTTTGCGTTACATTAAAAATAGATAAATTGTGGATGAATGCTAGAACAACTTCTGGGCCTTCCTTCCATTTCTTGCTCTTTAATAAACTATGCGATTGCAGATTTTGATACAGGCAGAAGACCTTCCACTACCTCCAAAAAAAGCCTTTTGAAGGGGCCTTTTCACAGTATTTCCTTTTGTTCTACAGAACGGGACCAAGAAAACTTTGCCATCCTTTGCTTATGTGCTGTCTTTAGCATTTACATCGTGGACTTAAAATTCCCCAACTGAAAGATAACTGATAATTGCAGCAAAATAAAATCTAAGATTTAAAGGTATGTTGCTTGTTCCCAGGGGCTGATCTTAAGTAATGTTACCTTGCCCGTGGTCGAACATACTTCAAATTCCCTTATTTCCTCATCTGGGGAATGATGTTGTGCCAGTGAGGGAGCTTTTACTGAAATACTCAAAGATAGTCATAAATTTTAACGTTTTATAGCCAATTGAAGTGTGTACATGTTTTTATTCCCAGTTATAAAACACAAGGAATAACTATGTGTAAAATGTTGCGTTATAGGAAACGAGAATACCAGAAGTAACATCAAAGAAAAAAATATGACATCTCAATAATAATTGGGCTATAAATTGGAAAGAAAAATTTGGTCTTGGCTAAATGTTTTTAATATATATCTTAAATATTTAGCAATATGGCTCTAAGGTTATAATGAAATAATATTCTTCTCTGAATCTAAAAATGAAACAAGTGAAATTAAAACAATAAATAAAGGTAATATAACATTTTACAACTGGAAAGAAAATTGTTTCTTAAATATTCAAGTAATGAAGTCTGCATAATTACAGTATTTATCTCAGTTATTTAAACTACCAGTAATTGTGTAGGGTTATGATAATTGTGCAGTACAATAAAGGAAACAAACTGAGTTTTAATACTGATGCATTATTAGACAATAAGTATTTACACTTTTTACTGCAAATACTGTTTAATCTATATTTGCTTTGTTCTTTGATCTATATGTTAGACTAATTAAAATATTTCTCTTACTTGAACAAATATTTACTGTTATTTCTGAAGCTTAAACCTTTCTAAGATAATAATGAGGTCAAAGATTTAAGTTCTACTTCAATTCAGGAATAGCTACAAAATAGAGTTAAGTTTAAAAGGTGTAGACCCATAAGCAGAATAATACTAGATGTTATTCCTTGGTGTAGTGTCAAATGTATTTACGTTTCATCAGACGTGCTTGACTAATCACATGAACAAAAGGACGGGGAGCTAAGCAGGAAAGTTAATAAAGGAGCAATTATTCGTTAAACTTGTTAAAGAAGCCAGGCAGACTTTATTCAAGGGGCACCATGGTGATAGTGATCACTGCAGGTCTTGCAGTAGGGAGAAAAGGACAAGTAGGGATTTATAACCAAGGAGCAAGGCACACTCTCCTTTGACTACTCAAAGTTAAAAATGCAAGACTTCAGTAGTCTCATTCACGAGAAACAAGTGGCTAATACTTAAGTAAACAAAGGCAAATATTAATTCATTGATTTCTTTTGCTACACAGTTATAAGAATGAAGAGATAATGTTCTCTCTATAGCTCCCCAGCGTGCAGAATTCATAAGTAATAACTATATTCTTGTAAAAAATTTAGCAGGGGCCATATTGTAACCAGTCTTCACTGTAGATCTGCAGGCAAGGGGGAAAAAGCTGTGATAACTAAACCATATAGAGCCAGACAGACATACTACACTAATGATTGGATAATCTATTAACCAGACTATCCATTTGTATAAGATGAATTTGCAGGTAAAGAGAGAAACTGTAGCACAAATGCCAATACGGAAAAGATTTTCTTTGTTTCACCAGGTGCTGAAAGAATTAATTTTTTTTCTAAAAATAAAAATAAATGTGTGGATAAACAAGAGAATAAGTGATGTCCACACAATGAAGAAGTGATTCTTTTCTATTACTTCCAAGTATATTGGTTAGCACACTTGACCCTCCGTGAACATACGTGCATACCTAACACTTTGCTAAAATAATTGAGGTAGGAAAGCACAGTAAATAAGATGTAAAAACAAAATAACTATAAAAGGTTGTGGAGTCATTAAAAAACTTTAAAAAGTAAATTCGCAGATTTTAACTCTTCTGTGTACCTATAGTGATTTTCACTGAGTTTCAAGTGGTGTTACTGTTGCAACACTTGTCACACTGGACTTTAATTAGACTATCAGACCCTTCCTGGTAGGGGCTTTCAGTCCCCCCACTGCAGCATTAGCGCAGAGTTTGAGCCATAATAAGTGCTCAAAAATACCTTTAAAAAAGTGAATATGTGTTCTCACCAGTCTTTGTCTTCCAAAATATTAAAAATGCCCAATCTTTGTAAGATGTAATGAGGCTTCTTTGTTACTATATTTAATAGATCCTTTATAAGTATTTTGACTTCTCTGTACAAGTTTATACTCTTGATCTGAAATTCTCTCAATTTGTTCCCATGTCTGATACCATGTTCTCTATTCACAACACCTCACTCACCCTGAAAACGTTTGCCTTGTTTCTTCGGTGTCATTCCTGTGCTCTTTTTCTTCCACATCTATGGTAAAAGATAGTGCTTTCAGAATTCCATCTTAGGTTGCCTTTTTTCTTAATTTACACACCTTTCCTAGGCTGCCTTAGTAACTCTCACTGTCTTAATTATCGTCTGTCTTAAATTTGGATCTCCAGATGTAGACCCTGAGACAAGAATGTATGGAAAAGAGATTTACTGAGGCAGTGTTCCCGGGGACAAGGATGATGTTAAAGAAAGAAAAAAATCATTCAATGACACTTGCAAAAGCATGGTAAGAAAGACTGATTCAGGACTATCACAAAAGGTATAGGGACAACTGCAATAGAGTTTTGCCGTAGGAGAGAGAGATTGGGCTCAACTCCAAAAGAAAAAAAAAAAGAAAGTTGGAATTTATAGCCAAGGAGAGTGGGTACTGGAGATAGGTGCATAAAAAATTTCTCAGAGGAAAGATTAGGGGTAAGAGAATATTCTGGCTAAACCTGCCTCATAGGATTCTTGCTGAAGGCAGACTGCAGAAGTCTGAATAAACCAACTTAGCAAGCTTCTTGCTAAAATTGGACTGATGAAAAGATATGCATGAAAGTCCAAAAGCGAGGTTAAGGAAGAGGATTGAGAGGGGAGCCTAACTAAAATTTGATCAAGCAAGAGACTCTGTTGGCAAAGAAGTAGTGGGAAAAAGACAAAAAGAAAACAAATCCAAAACAGCAGCATGTGTCTTCAAGCAAAGGCCTAGCATCAGCCTGATCTTCAGGAAAACTAGATTGTATCCAGTTTTGTTGCTCTTCAGGCAAGGGCTTTCCTATTCCTTCTCCAGTCAGTTATTGATAACTAGCAATGAGGAAGGGGAGGAAAGACATAAACTCCCATGGGGTGAGGGTCAGGCCCTTATTCCTGGCAGGCTAAATAGCTCCAGTGGCTCCAGGGTTTGCTGCTAAGGAAAACGTCACAGGTGGAGGCTATTACAAGCAAAGACTACAGAATTTGGGTATGCACACACAACTAGGGTGTGAGCACAGAACTGAGGTACGAGGGGACCCCAAAAGAACAGAATTTATTTATTAAAAATGGTGTGTTTATTCTTGCATATTTAAACTTCAGTCACCTTCAAAGTACTCTCTGTTTGATGAATAC